TTTTATTAGACTAATGAGACCCAATAACGGATATATTTTCAATTTTAATTGGATTTTAAGCACGACCGAACACGCCCTAAATCAACTTTTATTAAAAGCTACTAAAAATCTTATTTTAATCCACATCAAATATGGGCTCATTTTCTCATTAACTGCGCACTCAAAGCATCTCCTTTATTCAAATCCTAAATACAAAAATCGTACAAAAATTGTAGTTCGAACATCAATTTCCAATAATAATAATAATAAAATGTATTCTTTTTTATATAATTGAAAAAATAGAATACACGTTAAGTAACTTGTGTATTTCAAATAAAATACATTTTGATCGAGGTTTGGAAAGACACGAGCTTCTCTGATGAACACTTGAGGGGGGAAATCGAGCAGTCCAATATCAATCTGTTTTGACACCCTCTACTCCACTTTCCCCGGATTTTGGTGGGACAGGTGTTTAAAGAAATGAAGGGATGAAATGATGAATTGATCAACAAAAAAGCAGGTACTGCAACTTTTGCAGTTCCCTCTCCATTTGCAAATCAAATTCCTCAAACTGAACAATCTTGTCTTCAAACTCTACTGTCTGCAAAATTAAAATTGCCAAGAAACCACCTCAATAGTGAGAAAAATGCAAGGAATTATTACTAAACAGCGCAAACCTATAACATTTGGAGTGGGGTGTACCTGAACAGCAATGCCAGATACTGCCTTCTCCAGCTCGTCATCTTCCTTCTCAAGCTGCAATCTTGCTTCAGCAAGAGCTCCTTCCATTGAATTTAGGTCTTCACCGTTTGATGCAATATCAGAAGCATTGGAAGTGAAGGTCAGACTGGCCGGCATTTATCTTCTTTTTATTTATTATTACCATTTAGAAAGAGAGGCTTGGGGAGAGGGGTTCTAATTGGTGGAACTTCGTCTCTCATTTACTCCATTCTCACCAACCCGTGTATGGGTAAATTTAGAAACACAAATCAAATGACAGGGGTTGATCACCAAATCCCGGCTTCCCATTTCAACCATTATTCTTTGATCGCCAAACACTGGCAGCTTACCAAATTTTTAAGTTGTTAATGGACAAAACACAAATAAGATGAGTATAGCAGGAATGAGGATGTCATGACAGGGGCGTGGCCAGTTCCATCTGATCCACAATAATCCCAAGCCCATATCCATAATCCACTAGTTCATTACCCGGTCCAATCCCCTCTTCTTCTTCCCCCAACAACTTTCCTCAAAGCAGTCACCTGCCACGGCCACATCGTCGACCGCCACCCATACTGAGAAATGCCACCACCAAGCCATAATCACTGCCAACCGCCACACATCCACATCCATCATCACAACATCATCCTAATCCCTACACCGCCCTGCTTTCGGTTAGTCGCCCCCGCCACGAAATCGAAAGCCAAATGCGAGGTACCCTGTAACACCACCTTCGTCCTCCTCCGCGTCCAAACACATTCATATCAACCCTCACACAACAATCACAACCCAACTCCGCCTTTGATCACCAACTGCTCTGGTCTCACCGTCAATCCACCACAATCAGCAACCATCAACCCAGCTCGTTCCCTCCACTAACAACAAACCTCCACTGGCACCATCCATTGCCGCTGCAAATCAGTCGTCATCCACAAACCAAACTGACTAGGAGATAACAAATCAAGATATTGCTAAGAGCTTGAACATGAGGATATAACCACTTAGAAGATGTCGAACCCAAAAGTGCATCTACCATGACTTGCACGTCCAAAACCACATTACAGTTGTCCAACACTACAGCACAGACATCTAACACTCTTCCAGGCATCGAAAGCAGGTTCGAGAGGCCAATCAAACTGTTCGCCAAATGGCAAATTTACAAAGTGAGTTACACATTCCCTCTCACTTCGACCATCAACATGCTCCACGACTTTCTTCCAGTCATCACCATAGTGCATAATAGCTTCTAAGAGTTGCAAAGTCTCTTTATCTGTCCAATCTGTCTTTGCCTCTTCACTGATCTCGACCCTCTTAAACTCTGAAGAATCTCTATAATTAGCCCGCACATAGCATCTTGCACAAAGTGTCATGTCATGCTGCACAAAGATGAAAAACAGTAATGTAAAATTCAGCAGTTAACCACAATTTTGTGCTCTCAAATTNTAGATCATTTCTATATATATATATTATAGAAACCACAAATTTTCAACCAAACATTTAGGGCGTGTTCGGTAGAGATTAAAATCGAATTAAAATTGAAAAACTAGTCGTTATTGTTGACTTTTATTAGACGAGTAGAACTCAATAACGGGTATATTTTCAATTTTAATTAGATTTTAAGCACGACCGAACACGCCCTAAATCAACTTTTATTAAAAGCTATTAAAAATCTTATTTTAATCCACATCAAATAGGGGCTCATTTTCTCATTAACTGCGCACTCAAAGCATCTCCTTTATTCAAATCCTAAATACCAAAATCTTACAAAAATTGTAGTTCGAACATCAATTTCCGAAAAATAAATAAATAATAAAATGTATTCTTTTTTATATAATTGAAATAGAATACACGTTCAGTAACTTGTGTATTTCAAATAAAAATACATTTTGATCGAGGTTTGGAAAGACACTGGAGCTTCTCTGATGAACGCTTGAGGGGGGAAATCGAGCAGTCGAATATCAATCTGTTTTGACACCCTCTACTCCACTTTCCCCGGATTTTGGTGGGACAGGTGTTTAAAGAAATGAAAGGATGAATTGATCAACAAAAAAGCAGGTACTGCAACTGCTGTAACTTTTGCAGTTCCCTCTCCATTTGCAAACCAAATTCCTCAAACTGAACAATCTTGTCTTCAAACTCTACTGTCTGCAAAATTAAAATTGCCAAGAAACCACGTCAATAGTGAGAAAAATGCAAGGAATTATTACTAAACAGCGCAAACCTATAACATTTGGAGTGAGGTGTACCTGAACAGCAATGCCAGATACTGCCTTCTCCAGCTCCTCATCTTCCTTCTCAAGCTGCAATCTTGCTTCAGCAAGATCTCCTTCCATTGAATTTAGGTCTTCACCGTTTGATGCAATATCAGATTCTGCATTGGAAGTGAAGGTCAGACTCGCCGGCATTTATCTTCTTTTTATTTATCATTACCATTTAGAGAGAGAGAGGGGTTCTAATTGGTCGAACTTCGTCTCTCATTTACTCCATTCTCACCAACTTAAAGCCGTGTATGGGTAAATTTAGAAACACAAATCAAATGACGGGTTGATCACCAAATCCCGGCTTCCCATTTCAACCATGATTCTTTGATCACCAAACACTGGCAGCTTACCAAATTTTTAAGTTGTTAATGGACAAAAACACAAATAAGATGAGTATAGCAGGAATGAGGATGTCATGACAGTGGTGTGGCTATGCTAGCAAAGATAAAATATAATGTAAATATAAACTAACAGGCCAAGATGAAAACAAATAAGATAATTAAGGGTAGAATGACTTGAGTGGTTATGGGCCTTGTGGCCAATGATTAAAACAGGCTAATATCAAGGCATCTACTTCAATGAGGCGAGGCGTAAGCCTGATTCAAAGCAATAAAAAAAATTACAGTAATAAATTATAAAATATTTTATAAAAAATCCATAATAGAACATTTCAATAAAGTGATAAAAGTCTGATTTGCAACTAGAAAATAAAATAGGTTAGGACGTGTGGGCTCTTCATTTCTGTTCTCTAATCTCCAATTCTTTTTCTTCTTAGTTCTCAGGGTTGAGCTTTGTTTCAAATCGCCCAAAATTCCTTATAACATCTCTAGTAAGGGGAGAAAAAATAACAGCCCAAAATGTGGAGGATTGTTAAAAAGAAATCCAAAGAAAGGAAAAACTTAGGAGCGTACACCTAAGCGCCCTGAGTTGTATGCCTCGGGTAGGTAAGACGTAAACCTTCACAAAGGGTACCCTAAGCTGGCAAAACTTAGGAACATAAATATAAGAGCCCTGAGGTGTATGCCTCAGTTAGTGATTAAATATTATAATATTATTGAATTAGTTTCCAATTTTGATGCGTACTTTAGAAAGCATTACTAGATTTCGATTTAATAGCTTTTATTAAATATTTCTTACTCAGAATAAAATATCTGAAATTCTATATAAATGGGTCTTATACTTTGCCCCCGTTTGGGCCACCTTTTTATCAGTTTAAAATGAAAAATATGACCGTTATCCATCACATCAACATTTAAATTCAAATTTTCTATCTCTTGTGTGGGCCCCAATAACGGCTATATTTTTCATTCTCATTCTACAAAAAGGTGGCTCAAATAGGGCCTTTNCCATTAAAATGAAAAATATGATCATTATTCATTACATTAAAATTTAAATTCAAATTTTCTATCTCTTGTGTGGGCCCCAATAACGACTATATTTTTCATTCTCATTCTACAAAAAGGTGGCTCAAATAGGGCCTTTGTAATTAAAAAAAAACTGATAATGAAATAATTTTGATATTCTCCCCTAAATCTCTCTCTTCCCCCTCCTTTCTCTTCCTCTCTTCCCTTCCCTTTCCTCTTCTCTTATAATTGTTCTATTACATCCTACGTCAATTTGGTATCAGAGGAATCTATCTCCTTTGGCCTACACCTTATCAATCCATAAATCACCAATTGTTTCCATCCAATCCATATAAACACCACCGCCTTCCACCATCCATCCAAACCTTATAACCATCTTCATACACAACCTTTGAACATCACATACAAGAAGAATTCAGCTCGGCAGCAATCAAGCGCACAATATTTAGTTTTTATTTTAGCTTCAAAAAGAAAAAGAAAATAATCGGGAAAAAAATGCAGCAGTTTTTTTATTAGTATAGTTGTTGTTCTTAGTTTCATTGAAAATAATAAAAAAAAAAAAAAAAATCGTTATATGCGTCTGCTGCTGTTCAATAATCCCTTTGAGTTCGTTGCTGTTCTTCAATAAGAACAGTCCATATACATTATCCACACCCAATACCAAACCTGCTTTACTTCTAACCCAAACAGATACAGATCCAGCCCTAAACTCCAAAACTGGCCCATATTATCCATCAACACAAACTTAGCCCCCATCAATCGGTTTCAGCCCAATACAATAACCACAAAATTCAGACCAACACTATATCCCTCATTAAACAGTATCCAACCCATTAACCAAAATATCCATCTTCTAAACCTAAACACACAACCCATGCACCACATATCCAACCCATCACAGGCCCAACCTAGAACACCACATATCTAACCCATCACAGACCCAACCCAGTTCCATCTGATCCACAATAATCCCAAGCCCGTATCCATAATCCACTAGTTCATTACCCGGTCCAATCCCCTCTTCTTCTTCCCCCAACAACCTTCCTCAAAGCAGTCGCCTGCCACGGCCACATCGTCGACCGCCACCCATACTGAGAAATGCCACCGCCAAGCCATAATCACTGCCAACCGCCGCACATCCACATCCATCATCACAACATCATCCTAATCCCTACACCACCCTGCTTTCGGTTAGTCGCCCCCGCCACGAAATCGAAAGCCAAACGTGAGGTACCCTGTAACACCACCTTCGTCCTCCTCCGCTTCCAAACACATTCATATCAACCCTCACACAACAATCACAACCCAACTCCACCTTTGATCACCAACTGCTCTGGTCTCACCGTCAATCCACCGCAATCTGCAACCATCAACCCAGCCCGTTCCCTCCACCAACAACAAACCTCCACTGGCACCATCCATTGCCGCTGCAAATCAGTCGTCGTCCACAAACCAAACTGACTAGGAGATAACAAATCAAAATATTGCTAAGAGCTTGAACATGAGGATATAACCACTTAGAAGATGTTGAACCCAAAAGTGCATCTACCATGACTTGCACGTCCAAAACCACATTACAGTTGTCCAACACTACAGCACAGACATCTAACACTCTTCCAGGCATCGAAAGCAGGTTCCCTAGAAACAAGGATAAGCTTTCCAATTGAATCGAGATGTACTTAATGCCAAATCATAGCCTAAGTGGCTTAAGTTTCGATGTATTAAATATTCTAAAAGGTAATTAAGCACAAATTAAAAATCAGCCAGCAGACTCCTCGCACCAGTTGCATTTGAAAAACAGCCTGATGAAATGTCATAAACATAAAAAAAAAAAAAAAAAAGAAGGCAAAACTATCAATTATAGGAAGAAAAAAGTTGCTAAGATCAAATGTTGACAACCAAAACAGATACAATGACCCTTTAATTGACTGGCTCAAGTCCAACATACACAGCAAGAACAAGGAATATAGGAAAAATACATCCTTCACTTAACTACTTTAGAAATAAATAAATAATAATATATCATAGATAAGACAGTAACCTATTACATCGAAATTGCTATCTAAATCAAACTGCACCCTTAGCATTAAGTTACCCAGAGACCATATTATCTCCATGAGTACCTACTTTTAGGACAGTTGAACACCCCAAATACCTTGCTAAACTCGGGGTGCCTGAGGGAGGTCCCCGTAGACAAAGATCAATAAACCTTGTGTCACATTCATTTTAACCATAACAAGTCTAAAATTCTAATTATTCGATTAGTCTTTGAACCAAAAAAAAAAAAGGGAGTTGTTACCTGAGCCATAATTGGGTTACTAAAATCAGATAGGGGTGTGAGACACGTCCTTTTTGTTGGTCTTGAAAGATTTTGTGAACTTAAGGCAGTATCCGGCAGATTCGGGAGGCCCATCAAACTGTTCGCCAAATGGCAAATTTACAAAGTGAGTTACACATTCCCTCTCACTTCTACCAGCAACATGCTCCGCGACTTTCTTCCAGTCATCACCATAGTGCATAATAGCTTCTAAAAGTTGCAAAGTCTCTTTATCTGTCCAGTCTGTCTTTGCCTCTTCACTGATCTCGACCCTCTTAAACTCTGAAGAATCTCTATAATTACCCCGCACATAGCATCTTGCACAAAGTGTCATGTCATGCTGCACAAAGATTAAAAACAGTAATGTAAAACTCAGCAGTGAACCACAATTTTGTGCTCTCAAATTNTATCTCTATATTTACCTTGCACATAACATTTTGCACCTTGTTACTTGTCACGCTGCAGAAAAATGAAAATCATTAATGTAAAATTCAGCAGTTTACCACAATTTTGTGCTCTCAAATTAATATATTAACATGATAATGACTACCAAGTAAAGCAAAGAACTTCTAGAGATACAAAGAAGCATTAAAATGATATATTGCAAAATATATAAATACAGTATTCAAGAACTTAAAGTTTAATTACTAAAATAAAATATGGTTACTTTCATGAACAATAAGCATCGGGGATAACCAATGACTATTAGTAGAAGCTAAATTTTAAGAATTTCCCATCTAATACACAAAGCTATCTTATTAATAGCACCGAATATCCATCCACAATAATAACACTAAAACAGGGTGCCAAACATGCACCAAGTACCTTATCAGAGTCAAAGCACGCAAAGCTGCAAATACCTTTGCAGTTACTGCAGGGCTTTGACTTGGCAACCGTAACATTGGTGCTGCTTCCACCTGCGGTATCACCAACCTGCGAAATGGCTGTTGCCGATTTGCTCCTTCGCTTCCCACTTCAACTGTGGCTTTGAAGAACCGGTGTAATTGACCAAACCCCAAGCTTCCAAGAAATCGAATATCCTCCAAATTGACCCCACATCACCAAAAATGGTTCAGTGAAGGTAATTTTCTTGGTGTGTTTTTCTCGAAATCGCCTAATGATGGCATTCCTGTAATACTTGTAAACCCTAGGGTTCTTGGAGGGAGACCTTCCGTCGACGAACTCAGGGACAAATTTAACCTCACATTCGTAAACCCTATTCACCCTAAAGAGCCCAAAAAATCAGATTATTTAACAGAAAAATAATAGCTATCCACAAAAGCAAATAAAATATAGACGTGTAAGCATACGAGAATAGCTGGGGATGTGGATGACGTCAGCATCGGAGGAGGGTGGTTCGGGATGAGTGCGCGCGGTGGAGGTGACGGTGGCGGTGGAGGGAGCAGTGGCCGCGTCAGTAACGGTAACGGGGGTGGGGTGACGGAGGCGGGGTTGGCTTTGGAGTCGGAAGGTAGTGGAAGGTCAATAGTGATGGTGGCCATAGGGGCGTCGGTGATTGGGTTTCCGGCGGAGGGTTCAGGGGTGGGTGTCGAAGGAGACTTGATATTAGCAGCCATAATTAATGGTTTGAGTGCTAAAATTTATCTGCTAGAGCAAGCGGAACACCGATGGTGTAACCAGCGGAGGCGGACTGAAAACAAAATTTAATCGAAGAATCAAATCCAGCTAAAATCGAGATTAATTTCAATTTCACCATTACATACAAAATCGGACTGTAAAAATCTGTTATACTGTGTCGGGTTAGAGAGAAAATTCTTGGAGCATCTCCAACAAATATAATCGGGCTGTAACCATCCCTACCAGCAGCACTTTAGAGCATATTTTGAAATTATAAAGAGCATTTTGTAATTTTTTATAAATAAATAAAGAATGAATAATCAATCCAATAACATTCCTACGCATCTCTTTATTCGTTGAATGTGCGACTTCGATGATAGCTTCAAATGTAATTCTCCATAACTAAGTCGAACACGTGGGAATATAACATAATTCTCAAAGCTCTCGGCCTCGCTATCATAATATTCAGGCTGTGTTTGGGCAGAATTCTTTGCCAGATTTTGAGTGATTTTTCAACCGTTGCAAAGAACTCCAGCCGCAGAAGTTGACCAAATATGAAAGGTGTGGAGGCCATTGTTTGAAAAAAATGGCTATATTCCCACTGAAAATCTGATGAAAAGCAAGGCCAGACAAAGCCTCAATATGCCCATTAATAAAATCATCATTTTCTTTCTCGTGACGAGGATGAGGATTACCGTAATCTTATTTAAAAAGCGATGTTGAGAATGAGGTAGTAGGCCTAGAGTATTATGGCATATTTGGTGAAGACAAAAGTATATGTTCTATAGATTGGCATGCTAGTAAGTTTCATCTAAGAATTGATGTGTCGATATGTCGTTACTTATGATTTTAAGATTCAAACCATTGAAAAACTTAGAGGATGTCACTTCAAGAGTTTTATACATATCACAATTGTGCAGATGGAACGGAGGAGAAAACGATAGAAAGTCAAGGTGGTAGGTATAGGTATAGATACACACAAACACGATATGTGTACATATAGATTATAATCCTACTTCAGAGAAGAGACGAAGAGGACGATTCATAGGACACTCAACTGATAAAAAAAAATAACGTAATTGCGGCGATGCTCTAATTTTGGGGGTAGTTTTAGGGTAGTGGTGTACGGTGGTGATCTGCATATGCTATACTGTGTTCAACGATGTTGTTGGTGATGGTTCTAGTACGGTTGGATGATACAGGCGTTGGTGTTAGGATGATGGCATGAGGTAGCGGCGCTGGTAAAGTGGTGGTTATGTTGGCAGCGTCAATGGTGGTGGCTGGAGAAAAGAGTATTTGTGATCAATTATTTTGTTTATTGTGATCAATAAATTGATTAATTTGTTATCAATAAATAATATATGATCGATGAAATATATAATTTGTGACCCATAAATAATATATGACTTAAAAAATGTGAAATTTAGTGCTTGTTTGGTAGGGATTTTTGGGGGAAGAATTGATCTTTGAATAATGATATGATGGGAAATGTGTGTTTGAAAAAGAAGAAAAAATTATTGATGTAATGGAAAATATTATTTTATTGAAAAATGTGTGGTTGAAAATGAGAATTGATTTAATTCTCAAATAAAAAACAAACACCCCCTAAGATTAAAATAGCAACGGTGACTCACAATTTGTAAGTTGTAACCAAGTAATTTATTAATTTGTGAACGAGAAATAACCTTGACTAATTAATTTGATAAGTTATGACCTAAAAAATTTATGATTTTTTATCAAAAAATAATTTATAATTTGTGACCGATAAAGAAATTGTGACATATAAAATTTATAATTTGTATGTGACCATTAGTTTGATAATTTATGATCTAAAAATAAGTTGTAACCTAATTTTTGATTTGTGACTATGACGTCTATAGTTGTGAGTAGTACGTAACTGTAACCATAAATTATATAATAATATGACCTTAATATATTTAATTAATAAAATATTTTCTTCATTAATTATTTTATTAATAGAATTTAATTAAAATGTGGTTGTTACCAATTATTTAGTTGATTGTGCCAATAATTTAGTTAATTTGTGATCAATAAATAATATATGATTGATGAAATATATAATATGTGACCTGAAAAATGTGAAATTTCGATTAAAATAGTAATGGTGACACAATTTGTTAAGTTGTGACAAATTAATTAATTTATTTGTAACGAGAAATAATTATGACTAATTAATTTGATAAGTTGTGACTTATAAAATTTGTAATTTGTGATCGAAATTAATATGTAACTTATTAATTTGATAATTTATGATCGATATAGAAATTATGACCCATAAAATTTGTGATTTGTAATCGAGAAGTAATATGTGACCCATTAATTTGATAATTTATGACCGAAAAATAAGTTGTAACCTAATTTGTGATTTGAAACTATGACGTCTATAATTGTGAATAATACGTAACTCTGGCCATAAATTATATAATATTATGAGATTAATATATTTAATTAATAAAATATTTTCTTTATTAATTATTTAATTTATAGAATTTAATTAAAACTTGATTTTTGAAATTAATAAACCTAATTTCTTAATTTTGAAATTGTATTTTACAACCACATTATATGTGTAATGTTCCATTTACTAGAGTTGGGTTGGGTCGATTTTTTACTCAATCCAAACTCAACCCAACATGGTCAATTTGATCTAAAATCAAACCACCACACCCAATTATTGGTTTAAACCCAACCCAAATCGATCAAGTTTGGGTCGGTTTGGGCAATGCGATTACTTTTTGTTGAATTTAACCAATTTTTCAAAGATTGAAATTACTTGAAAACCTTCATTTTTTTTAAACACCTATATAATGAATTCTTTCTAAAAAATAATGTATAAATAAGTTTAAAAAGTAATGTGTGTGTGTATATATATATATTACAATTTTTTGGGATTTATTCATTTCATCTTCATGTACTTAATTTTTATTATATCGTTAAATAATTTTATATTTGTGCATAGTATTCAATCAATCGGTTTATGTAAAAAGGGGACATTTATAAATTATAAGTTATTCTCTTATCTTCATCATTGTGTCTATTTATTTTTTTATTTTAAATATTATTTTTTAAATTTATCAGGGTTAGGTTGGGTTGAGTTGGATAGGATTTGTTAGGTTTTAATTCATAACCCAAAACCTAACTCAACCCAACCTCAAATTTGATTTTTCAACTCAATACAATCCAATTGAATTTAAAAACCAACCCAAATCGATCGTTTTGGGTTGGGTTGGGTTGGGTCGAGTTGGGTTATTTTGGTTGGATTTTGCTAAGTCCTACACTTTACTCAAATCGATCAAGTCCGTTTCGTGTTGGACCTTAAACCAATTCAACCCGAACCACCCCCACCCCCACCCACCCTCACCCTCTCACTTGAACAACTAATAACAATTAGCAAAAACTAGGGAAATAGAAAATAAATCGCTTATATCAGCTGCTATTGTCTTTTTTTATTTTTGTTTGTGTTTTGCAGCTGTTGAAGAGGATTGGTGACTAGAACATGTGACAAATTGATGAGATGGCAGGGCGATGTTAGGGGTGATTGTGATTGAGTTTAAATGGCTGCTGAGATACATCTTTTCTTATCCGCAAGGCACGTCGTAATAACATTTCTTACCTGCAAGGCACATCGTAATAACATTTTGGTTAAAGGAGAGTGTCAACTCTGATATCAAATTCGTGACAAACACAATTGAACAAGAACAAAATTGAGAAAGAAAGTGAAAGGGAGTTGACAAAGAGAAGAATGGAGAGAGAATGAGAAAAGAAGAGAGAACAATATTCAATATTCTATTAATAGTCAAGTCTATTTACAAATGAATTCCTAAATCATATTTAGGGGGACAAGAAGTGAAACTTGTTAGATTTCATTAAAACTTTAAATTTCAAGTACTTGAAAATCTAATTACTTTACTGTCAAGATTATCCATGCCAAGTCACTAAGAGAATTATTAAATGTGGAACATACCTTAATTTATTAGGAATAATTTTATATTATTGGATCTTGAAAAATGACTCTTTTGTTTTTTGAGTTCTTGTCCTTGATTTCGACTTCTTGGTCTATAATCTTGATTGTTTCAATTCCTTCTTCTTGATTCTTGATTGTAGATCTTTTTTTTCAATATGTTTTCTCTAGTATTATTGTGTTGATATGATGACACAAATAATGAGAATTATATATGAATTGGGAGATCATAACCCTATCTATAATTTTCATATGTATTTGGCACATCATCAAAGACAACCCCAATGAATTCGTTCTTTACACATATAATCTGACCTACACTTATTTAGATGCATAAAGGTC